ACACACACACACAAAAGTATGGATGAAAGTATTTCTACATATGAATTAGTATCTGTAACAAATAAATCCATGCATATAGTAGAGCTTATAAAGGGAAAGTTATGAAAACTTCTTAGCTATAACCAAATTCCAAGAAACACTGAGGCTCTGAGCTTGGAATCACGGGCTTAGGGGATATGAGGTCAACTGTCAGAAGACAATATTCTATATCTTTCTTTGGTAAATAGCTATTGGTGTCCAAAAACCTTGAGTGGCCATCTAAGATGCATCTATTGGTCCCTCCCTATTTATTTTAAAGAAGAGTGAAGAAAAATCAAAGGTTCAAGCAAGTAGTTCAAAGAACTAATGAACAACAGGAATCACAGTCTCTTCTAGCCTAAGATCCAAGGTGGTTAGTTACCACACTACTTTTTACTGCAATCAGGATCACAATAGAAGGTCCTGGATAGTAGTGTGGGAGAAAAATGTAAAACAAAAATTAAAAATCATAGGGGAAAAAAGACCAACTGCACTTGTTTGTTAAGAGACTGGTGGGATCCTGGAGAAGACTAGCCTTTAGACACCATTCCAACCAGGAACCTATCTCCAGGGATCATCTTTAAACAATACTCTTCCCCCCAGGTCTATAAAGTGAGCAAACGATATTGTGAGGAGCTACTCTGCAGAACTACGAACCATACAATAACAAGAGCAGAACTGTCTCAAGAACGAAGTTCAGAAGGCAGAACAGGGCCAGGAATAAGGCTGAATGGAAATGAGTGCCTAGGAAGAGAAGAGTGCTATTAAATTGCCAGAACTGAAACCAATGTCATGAAACAAAATGTGTAGAAGTTGCTGAATGGGAAATTATTTTAATCTGTAAACATTTAATCAGGTAATAAAATGTAAACACACACACACTGCTGTATTTTCTACCTGTTTTATTTTTCAAACTTTCTAATGAGCAAAACAGAGGGGAGGGGCGGGTATCCTGGGGAGTGTGCCCTCCACAGCACTCCACAGAGATAGGACAAATATAAAACTACATTAAAAGGTTTTTAAGATAGGCGAAGAGGACTTAAAGTTTCTTAAATGTGAGCCTAAAATCAAAGTTCTAATCATGAAGGGATTTTTGATATTCACTAGACAAAAACTTTAGTACAACATAACTAACTCGCCCACAGCGGGTGACAGATCAGACATTCTCCACGCCAAGTGCTAAGTTTCTGTCGCCAAAACAATATCCAGTAGCTTGAACTACAGGGAGCTGGGCTGCTAACCCAAAGGACCCCCTCTCAGGGGGTCCGAATTTACCAGTGACTCCAAAGAAGGGCAATCTCTACCTTGAGATTTACAGCCTCAGAAACCGAACTGGGTCAGGTTCCGATCCCAATGAGTTTGAGGTTTTTAAATCTTATATTACATGGAAACCAGGCAACGAGAGGGTCTCGGGAGAACATCATTCGGGTCCCACAGACCAAGATTTCTCGGGCTGGAAGGCCCAGCCCCGGCAGCAGGGGTGCGTGTCCGCCGCGGCGCGCTCTGGAGCGGATTAGACAGCAGCCCGCGTGCGACAGGCATTCAAGGGAAGCCATTTCTCCTCATTACTGCGCGCCTTGGCGTTCGCTCTTCTCCAGCTGGAGGGGCCTGGCTTGTGCGTGAAGACAGGGCTCTCCGTACCTCACTACCGAACCCATGGGCCCCGAACGTGCAGGATACCTGAGCGTGTCCACGTACCCTCACAACCTCGGTTCCAATGGGTCCCCTCCTCCGGTGCCGCTAGCCGCGCAGGCCGCTCTGCCGGCCCCGCCCAGCCCGCCACGCTCCGCCCCACGTACGCGGTGGGAGGTGGGGCCTCCGGGAGACGTTGCCACTAGCAGGCTACAACGCAGTGTCTGGGGACCTGCAGCCTCCCGTAAGGCCTCACGTAAGAATGAAGATCTCGATAAACATGGATATACATATATCTACTTGGATGTCATTTATGGTCTCTTT